TTGACTAGATATCAGAGAAAGTAATCCACGATAGTTATTACAGAAATTATCCGACGAACCTTATGAGATACAAATAAAATGGTCATCTTGTTTGATCTGGGTTTGTTCATTGTTTCGGGATCGGGATGTGTTTGTACGTTGTTTGTTTAGTCGCGTGAATGACAGACTAATATACGGACTAAATATTAGTAATCAAGGTTGTTAGTTTAACGGTAAGTTACCTAGGATGACATTAGTAAATACTATGGATTTGAATTCCTCACTCCGACACTATTGCGTGACAGTCAAATCATTGTCTGTCGGCTTTAACAGGTAAGCTATTACATATGAACTCTGACCTCAGCTTTACACAAAGATTCAACTCTAACCAAATCTAATATCGTAAATATTCCCACGGAAATCACGAGAGTACAACCATTTCCCATTGCGGTCAGATTGATTATTATTATATATAGAGGACATTTAATGGTTTCCCCGTTAAATTATATTTCACGAGATTGACAAAATATCTATATTTTCAGATATATTGCTTCATACGAGTGAAATATATATGATATTTATAATAACCAAATGTGATCTAAACATAAAATAAAGCGATATTAACAAGGTTGGGAAGGAGTGCGGTCTTTGACGTTAGATAATTTGACATTACGTTTGACAACAACACGACGCCACATTGATTATGCTGTTTGACGTTGTAGTCTATCATTCCATACTGATATCTGGTAAATATCTCATCCAAAACTTTATTTACCAAATTAGAGAGAACAAGAAATGTACACGGGAATTATTCCATGATAAACTAATTTATTAAATCAAAACAATCATACATTTCTTATTGCGCTTTTAATTTCCGCGAGTGTCTGAAGCGTCCTTTGGGACAAATGTTCAAGTTCTCAACCAATCAAAACATCAGGTGGTCATATATTACTAGTGATATATACTTATGTGTTACATATTCATCAAACCGTCAGTAGGTTGCATAAAGTCAGAGAGTGAAAAAAAAAACAAGACATTGTGGTTGGAAATGAAATAATCCACTTGAAGCATTTTCCACCGTGATAAATTGTTGCTGTAAGGATGTGTCGATATTTTAACTAATGATCCAGACACGTTGTACTTCCTATAGCTAATTACTTCTCGAAAACTTGGTGTGTTCAGATACAATTATTATATATACAACCTAATACACAAATCTACAACCAAATTCTCCTACAACGTCGGATCAAAGAGTCCGCGAATTGTTTAAAATATCTATTGTAATCAAGCACATCGTCAACAATTTTACTAATTTGAATGTAAAACAACTTTGTTGTGATTGAAGCAAATTTAATCTTCGGATCTATCGTGCATCGTTAAATACAAAATAATGATAATGCAGAAGAAATAAGGTACGATCGGCATGCTGACAAAGCTAACCCAGCCCTGTTATAAACAGTGTGTGTGAGAAAAAGCTGTGAATTATTGATGGGTTTCACCGCCCCTCGCTGACGCTGTACCTGATGGTTAGGTACCCGGGTAAGACTGGCGTTTTTATAGGAGACACAGTATAATTACAGATTTATCTGTCGTTTCAGTCAAAACAAAAGGAAAATACTGAGTCATATCACTAACATTTTTATAAGGTCTCATTACTGCGAGTTTCATTACCGTCTAATTCAATTGTTTAAAATTATGTTTCTGACACTGAAGACAATTTTATGATACCTGTGTGTTTAGTTTTTTTTTTAATCACCAAATGACACTTTATGATTATAATGAAACTAAATCATGTTTCAAAGTAACGTTGTTACAAAATTCGACGGTAGCTTTCGCAACGTTATTTGATAAAAGCGTTTGAATTAAATATTACATTGATAAATGGAACATTTTGAATAACAAAGTTAATTTCATGAAAAATAATTACACTGTTGTCCCGATTAATCTTAATTAACCGCATTATTTAAAGTTTTAACGTCACGACAGAACCATTTAACTGTACGTAATAATATTAACGAGATGTTTTGTTTTAAGACAATTAAAACAAAGTAAAGCAAGAATTCCCGCTCCTGATTGCTGTTGTTTATTAAGATATGCTATGCTACTAGTTTGCTTTGCACTTGGTTGAACCGGCGTTGATGATGGGAGCCGTGGATGCCATACAGTTGCCTATATCGTGACAAGACCTATTAAACCTGCCAGTAGAGGGCGGGGACAGACCATATCATTCCCGTTAATGAAGCGACAACTGTCAACATGACAATTTACATAAATCTGGACCCCCTCGAAGAGTAGTGCACTTTAGATGATTAATTTGGAACTCTTCCGACTATCCCGAAGTGGAAATATTCCCGATCTATCCGAGCAAGGGGAATGGTCGCCATGAAACCTGCCGAGAGATAAATGTTTATGTATCTATTAATGGACCCCCCACGCTTACCTCCCAACCCGCCAATATGGTTGTTTTGTACATGAATTCGTTATTTCGGGCTATTTTACCCAAACATAAAATGGAACTCCATGGCATCGTTCATGTCGCCTTTATACATTACATACATAATGTATCTGGTAATCATAGTTTTATTGTCTCTCTTAAACACCAATGACTGATATGAAATACTTTTCCTGTGAGAAAGTGAAATAAAAACACACTCAAAGGATACCCAGGTGTATCTTAATGGAGTTTTAATTATGTTCATGTTGATGTGTTCTTGATTTCCAATACGGAACCACACCATGCAGAACGGAAGTTAATTCCAAATGTGAAAGTTACAGAAACAGAACCAGAGAAAGCTATTTGTGATATCTTTGTATAACAATGTCTGTTTCCCTTTATCTTAATGTTAGTTTGGCTCGCATTTATAAACTTGTTGATATTGTTAATTCATAACATGTTCTTTCATCAATAATACACATTTGAGTATCTACAAACGAGTAGAATATGTCTTTCTCAATTATTGATGCTAACTGGCTGTTCGGCAGATTCATACTACATAGAATTCGCTTAAAATACTCGACGGGGTAATTCTGTTCTGACACGATGTGACAAACTAGGGTTGTCCTACAGAATGCCAAAACATATTACAGATGCTAATAACGACAAAGAGTGTCGTGACTTAGTTAACATCTAACGAACACAGTCTATAAGGTTCATTTGTATAACATGTACGTGGGTAACACTTTCATGATGTAAACGTTTTGTTGCGACACTGTAAGTACACAATGCACATTTGTTCACGGAGCGGAAGACATTAATGACATTCTTACTTTAAAATGTACTGACTGTATTCCCATTTCGTAATTACAGGATTGGTCCACCGACATCTGCTGACCAACGCTTCACTGGTGTTACCCGGGTCGTGAAATGGACGTGATGATGGGTCGCCGAGTGTGATGTTATGTTAGGAAGATTAAATCGTCGAAGGCGGGAAAACAATTAAATCTGATGAATCCATGACTAAACGGGACGATACAAATTCTACACGGACTAGAATAACAACAAAAAGCTGTTTTAAATCGGTTCCAGGTGATTTTACTGAACTATAATGAAGATTTCACGTGAAGCATATCTTTATTATAAAGCAGACTACGTGCATCCTGTGGACTGAGAATATACACGATACTGTGTGGTTATATACCATCATCATCGATCAGCAGGGCTTATCCGTTTTGCACTAAGGTAAGAATTTATCCAGGGAGAAAATAGGAAGTACATGACCTAAAGACACAGAGATGGTCTGTACGTGTCTTCACGTGATCGATAGCATTGTATCGTAGAGTGCAACGCACGTGTGCAGAATTTTATATATAGTTCACAGCGTACTAACGTACACGATTTACTGACTGTGTACGTGTGTATGACAGTGTCAGTCAGAGTGTTAGAGATTAAAGTGATTTATTTACGACATATAAAGGATTAAGCAGGACAAAAGTTGTTTTCCGGATTAACACTTTAGTCGAATATAAACTACAAAAAATCTGTTAAAGGTGTTTTGCATGTGCATGCGTGTATCTGTCGGGATTAAGGATTACACTTTATGATAGACAAGACATAATCTATATGTGTCTGGATTGTGAACTATCCTCCAAAACAATCGCACTTTGGATTATTTGTTTAGAATCGCAAGCTTCTATAAAGGACATTATAGGCAATATTCATCACTCTTTGGAAATAAATATACTGTGCTTTTTCGTGGAAGGGGTGTAAATTAAGAAACTTTCCCATGAATAATAACGTAGGATTTAGGGGGTAAAAATGTTCAGGAGTATTACGTTCCCATAAATGGTATAGCAACTTGATCCCTGGAATTGGAAAACTGGATAATTTTACTCCAGGTGAACTGAGAAACCGTGGATTATACATCAAACCATCTCCTCCAATGTCTTTATTTAAAGCTTATGTGACTACTGCCGAGTATTGGAAATTCATTTAACGTAATGCAATCATCGTTGATCCAGGTTTATCTGTGAACAATTTTTATAGCCAGGGATCGCGTTACAACTTTCCACTGTCGTCGTTTTGAGTTAATATTAAATCTCCTGTATCATCATATCGATTTCTAGTGTTTAACGGAAAAATAAAAACGTTGATGGTAACTGGTGTTTACATTTAAATCAGATCATGTGTTTTGCTGTGGATTTTCTCAGGATATCTATTGATTACAAGTGAAACGTGTATATTGTATCAGGTTTCAAAATGAACACAACCTAAAGAAGGCAGACAATTACATATATTTGTATAATGAACAACGCTTTGTTACCGAAATTCGACTGGCTATATACGAACTATTGAAATATTATAACTTACTATTCCAGCATGTGAAAGACACATACATGATGGAACCAGAATGAATATGTTTATTTTGTGAGAATATTAATTTTAATTGTTTTCGTCATTATACATTGTCACGAAGCAATTAAAACGGCTTTGGTTAGGTTAATTGTGGCCTGTGTATACAACGATAATCACAATGAAGTGAATTAGACAAATCCCCATGTGTAATACACAATAATTTATCGTTATGTTCGGGACAATGCCAGACCGAAGTGTGAAACATACACACGAGGACTTGCATGATTTCGTTCGAGCTCGGGTGTCCACATCGCGCCCTTCCAGTCTGCGAGCGAACAGTCAGTATGTATACTTGTCAGACGAAGGAGAAGATAGTGCGGAAAATAACCGCCATTTTAATCATACTTTAGAGAACTATGTCCGTCGGCGAGCGAAGTACTCCAAACGTAAGTCTTCTAAACGAGCATCCACGTCTAAGCTGACCAAGGCTACCATGGCGGACGATGATACTGATGACGACGATTCTATATTTGGACAAAGTGACGATGAATTAAACGAAGGGGTAACACGTTGTAGTTTCGGAAGGATTTCTAATCGACGCTTAATCAAGAACTTACAATCTAAAAATAATATTACATCGCGAAGGGAATGTCGATGTTCCGCTACTGTGGCGGAACACGAGGAATTAGTGTGTGGATGGGAATCTAAATACCAAACCGGGAAATATTACAGACCAGTGAAAGTAAAGCGCAAGACACAAAACCATAACATTCCGCATGCTTACCAAAGGTTACTTCCGGAACGAGATACGGGATTTGACTTTCATCACTATGAGGAATCGTCACAGTATATGGAACAGTACCGACACAATCACACCGTGGGCGATGTGTGTAAGGTGTCATACTACCACAACGATGACGTCACGATGGCAGATCCATACGTATCTAGGGTCAAGGGGAATGTCTGGTAAGTATATTGATATAAAATTGTAAATGTTGTCCTTAAAATAGCAAAAATAATTTCAGATTTATTCATTATAATTGTTTAATTCCGGGAATATAAGTTAAGACATAACTTTTAGAATTATGAAGTGGCGCTATCAGCTTTGTCGGGTAATAACTTAACGCAGACTAACCAGATCACTAATAATGATACTAATAGATAATTTCAGAAATTAGTAACGAACGTAAATTGTTGTGTGTGTTTACGATATGTGATCGACATACTTTCTTACATGTAACTTTAATTTTGACTTGTAAGTGTTTTAAAATCAACTGGCAGTTTCCTTTCAGGTGTGAATATTGAAGCATGGATCACTAACAGTACTATTGATTATCCTTTAATCTTCTCTATGGAAGTTGATGAAACGTATGAGGAAGTTTTACATGTTATCAGAATGATCTCATTGAGAAATAGTCTAACATATGGAAGTATTTCATGATCGTTAGTTTGCCTGTTGGTTCCGTTGTTGTATACCGTGTTCGTATTTGAGAACATGACATTGCATGTACCGACATGAATTGACAAAGGTTTATATGTCGTCGATGAAGCAGAAGACGCTTACTCTTCCGGAACAACTTGTCTTATTTTCTGGGTGCTTTTTCAGGAATATCCGTGTAAATCCATTTTGTCATATCAGCCCAAGTTTTATTGAATTTGAGTTTGGATTATGTTTATGTTAACATGTTTTTTATTTCCTTGTCGTTTTTAGTTCACCAATATAGCTTCAAAGTGCTCGTTCAAACCCGACATAAAACTCTTTGACAAAACAGCATTCCAATATTTGTAATCAAAGTTTCCAAAAAACAACAAAAATACCAACATGGCAATAGGATCATAATCCTAAACCAGATTTTATAAATCTGTGGCAAATTAGCAACAAAAGAAATATTTGCCCGGTGACTCCTAAAAAGTACAGGGATAATTAGACCAGATATAGCTTTGTCGTACTGAAATCACTATCGATTGCTCCCAAAAGGCATACTCCAAACCGTGATCAGGGAAAACTCATTGTCCTATTATGACGTACATGTTCATGGTACATCTAAAGCTGGTATGTACAAAACATATTTAAATTCTTTAATGCACAAAAGGGTTAATCGATTATTGACCTTTGTTGAAAAGGATTTGTTGTCGAAACATCGAATAAATGCCATTGAAGGCCGTAATAGAGATTATAATAAAACACAGTGGTTATTACATAAAATGATTTCATAATGTGAAGCACTGCTCTTTCAATTTGAAAAAATAGAAGTTGACTTCGTTGAACTTTCTGAAAACATCAACAAACAACCATCCCTGTTATATATACATCTCTGTATAACTGACCACAAAACAATCATCCCTGTTATATATACATCTCTGTATAAGTGACCACCACACAATCATCCACATTATATACACATCTCTGTATAACTGACCACCAAACAATCATCCACATTATATACACATCTCTGTATTACTGACCACCACACAACCATCCACATTATATACACATCTCTGTATAACTGACCACCACACAACCATCCACATTATATACACATCTCTGTATAACTGACCACCACACAACCATCCACATTATATACACATCTCTGTATAACTGACCACCACACAATCATCCACATTATATACACATCTCTGTATAACTGACCACTAAACAACCATCCACATTATATACACATCTCTGTATAACTGATCACCACACAACCATCCACATTATATACACATCTCTGTATAACTGATCACCACACAACCATCCATATTATATACACATCTCTGTATAACTGACCACCAAACAACCATCCACATTATATACACATCTCTGTATAACTGATCACCACACAACCATCCACATTATATACACATCTCTGTATAACTGACCACTAAACAACCATCCACATTATATACACATCTCTGTATAACTGATCACCACACAACCATCCACATTATATACACATCTCTGTATAACTGATCACCACACAACCATCCATATTATATACACATCTCTGTATAACTGACCACCAAACAACCATCCACATTATATACACATCTCTGTATAACTGACCACTAAACAACACATATTCTTTCACAAAATTGTTGGGTAAACCATTGAAACAAGGACGGTTACTATTTTCTAGTCTCAGTCAGTTGAATTGAGATTTTCATTCAACAATTACACCCACACACATGTATGGGATTTATTTACGATTAGGGAAGATTAACTTTATTTGTTGATAATAATCCTTTACGATTACGACAGCCACATTTGTATTGTACATATTAATCCTACTGATTTAAATCAGTAATATATAGTCGGTATACAAAGATGAAAATTGAATGTTACCAATAAATTATAATCTGTGGTGCAGACATTCAATAATCAAGGTAGTTATAACGATATCTGCTTAGTTGTATTTCATTTTCTGTTCAATTCTAAAATCGTCAGATAATCATCTATTAGGAAATTAAATCACAGCAGTACACGTTTGTTTTTCCTCAACATTTAAAGGTTTTCTTCCTTAAGAAAATTCATGGTACTTATAATATGTATTTCTAACCTAACATTTCTTTTGTAATTTGATGGAAGATTAAACACTGCACATAAGTGTGGATACATCCTTAGAAAATGGCGCTGTGCTCAGTCGATTTGATAAGAGATATCCAGATTTACAGTAGACTAACGCAAGGAAAATGTTTTTATGTCACACAACATCATGTTCATGGCATTTGGTTATCCCTGTATATAACATCACACGTTTAACTACAATACAATTATTACAATACAAATTATCATACCCATAATTTTGTCTCATATATAATACAATCCTTTACTTACCACAGTCGATAAGAATATCTACAAACGAAACAGTATAAACAATAATTCATTTTGGTATTAAGTTAACACAAGGAACCGAGCTTAATATTGATTTCAGGAAATGAAATTTAATATATTTTATCAAAAACTTGTATCTAGATCCCTATTATAATCAACCTTCTATGTTAAGTACGCTGTATAAAAATAAAAATGGAATAAATTATATTCTCTTAAACATTATAACACATCTACAAATAACATTGATGACATTAACCCGTGATAAATTGAGAGTTGATGTGTAGATAACATTGTGACATTACTCAAAAGTGATGTACAGAAAGTGATTGAAAGATAAACCAAGTTTTCATATTTCACTATGATAATACTTTGTCTATGGACACAATAGTTACACGAAATGTAGTTCCATTAGATAGAACAACTGCGAATCCTAGACCTGTAGAGTTTGTACATTTTGGATGACTCCTAGCCTAGAGTGTTGGTGATAATCTTAAATCATAAAAAGCCATTCTCGAGAGAGAGAGAGAGAGAGAGAGAGAGAGAGAGAGAGAGAGAGAGAGAGAGAGTTAAGTGATTAATTTTCGCTGTAAATACGATTCACAAAGTTTTTATCCTTTTAAATTCCTTTTAAATTATATAATCCCAATTTGTGTAGACATCTTCCAATACATGAAATCATGCTTGACGAAACAACGGCCGTCTATAACTTTCTGTCTATAACCAAAGTAAATGTGGGCACACTGAGACGGGGAAATTGATGCAATCTTTAGCTGAAAATAACCCAGAATAACGATGTCGCAGTGATTGGTAATTGAAAATCTACAAACCTCAAACAAGTTGTGTTATTAAGACTACCCAATTGCTTTTGTCACGTCACCACTTTAAAAAATGGAATGTCAGATAAGCATTAAAATATATAGATATCACTGATTTTAATTCACACAGGTATGTAAAATAAAGTCAATTTCAAAATGTCTTATCACATACAAATAAACACCGCATCTTCATTTCAGATAAACATTTAAAGCTTGGGTGTTCATAGTCAAAGACTCAGGAATATATCATATAATAGTACGTGCGTTAAGGCGCCCCCTTTACCATGGTAAAATAAGATTTTAAGAACGAAATATTATACAGTATATGCATTATAAGCGTTTAGGAGCAGTCTGATGCTATAATAACACAAGATTTATGTTATTTTCATTCTTTTATTTACTCCGATAATGCAGATTGTGCTACATTGTTGATATCTCCTGTACAAAATATAACCTATCTTAAGGGCCCTTACAGAGATCCTTGTTTTATAGAGGGGCTGTCGACAAGCTCAGATCTGGTACATATGTATATATATATAAATATATATAATTCATTTTCTCCGTTCTTTTTTAAACGACGTGTATCAACACAAGTGTACACTTAAATATTGCACTAACCTTGTATCGATACAGAACAAAATGACAGCGTTGATGACGGGTTGTCAACTACTCATTACATACATGTACACTCCCAGGTTAACAACAAAAGCTGCCCTGATATTGACATTTGTTTGCATCAGGTTTCTATTGACATCGATTTCCTGGGTCCGTAATCATTACAGAAAGGAGTGATTCAGAATAAAGAATTTATCTAAAAAAATAATAATTGATTTTGCGGTTTATTTCCAGTGTTGTAACCACGTGCACGAATCAATTATAAATTAAAGAATGCGATTAGAAGTACGTTTACTTCAGAAAAAAATACATGCCAGTAGCCATGAAAATAGTGGTATACACAGGAAGTACTCGCCGCTGGAGTGTAATACTTGTTACTCATGTATCGGTAAACAAGTTAGCTAACTAAAGACTAAAAAACATTTGTTTAGTATCAGTTTCACCCACGAATCTTTGTCGATGCTGTTGTGTGAGGAAAAAGACTTTCATTTGACTGAAATTCTAAATTATGAATGGAGAAAGGAAAACTCGCGAAAGCTTGCAAATGTGTCTGAGTAACGTCATAAATGGAGGCCCATATTCATACCCGTTTCACTTGAAATTTATAAAACATGATAAAATGAAGGAAATGCTTACCACTTGTTTCTTAAATGTTAAATAAAACCCCATGTGATGTTATCTTTCAATGCCTTTACATTTTTCGATTCGTGAGACCTACTGAAGATAAATCAATGTATCCCATTGCCGGCGGCTATTCATATGAAAGCACGGAATAAGAAAGTAAGGATTTTTTTCTGTTGAAGAGAGTGGAACAATATGGTGGTGTATAACGTGATGGAATGATAATAATTATATTCCGGACTATAACTGTAGATCAAATCAAGGACAAAAACAACATGGAAATACCAAATGTCAACATAATCATAATCCAAACTCTAATTTAATAAAGATAGTAAAACTAGAGTAAAATACAAACAAAAGAAAAAATCTACTGTAGAATTGGTATTCCGGAAGAATAAGGGTCTGAAGCTTACTGACACCCTTAACAACTGAAAGATTAAAACGAACATCCGTACAGATTATATATGACGAATAGCATTCCACATAATATTGGAAATTTATGACTAGATAACTAAAACTAGTGCTGTATCTTTAAGACCAGAAAGCAATACAAATTTGAGAATTTGAACATTTTTAAAGACAATGGATTGTTTGACGAACTACCTAATTTGTGGAAACACGCCATATCAATTCATTTGGAAATATTGATTTCTTCATTATTATATTTACCTTACAGTACACAAAGAAAGATGAATGTATGCAGTTGAGCAATGCATGATCGCACATTGGTAGCAGGGAACTAGAAACTCATTTTAGATATTGTTCTTCTGAATTCCCGCCTTAGGTAACCAATCTGTAGAGAAATGGCGACCGAACGTTACGAGCGTGTCTCTAATTTGATCTGTTCTTCATTACAGCTCCATCGCTGAGAACTGTGACTTCCTTGCCATTCTGTCGGTGGATCGAGAAAATGGGTAAATATAAACAGCCTGATGATGATTATCAAATAAATTTTCCAGTGTTTGCGCATAAATTTGCAAGAACATATTAAATGAACACAGATCCTATTTTTGTTCTTTGTAGTAACGTGATGACGAATCCTCACCTTTACCACAGTAACACCAGCATGGGCCAACACCATCAGACACACCAACATTCTGGGCACGATCTTCACTCTGAAGAAGAAAATAATGATGACACAGAAAAGAACATGTCAGTTCAGGATAGGGGTAAAAAACTCAATCTTGCTCCAGTAAGAAAATCAACTACCTCTAGACCGAAATTGTGTAAATCAAACATGAAAAAGAAAACCGCTCGGTCGACACATAGCCAGTATTTGAATTTAGTCATACCCAAAACAACTCTCCACCGGAAGGATCTGCAACTAAATGTACAGCCTGTAAAGGACACTTATGCTGCACGATTTGATACACGTCGACTGACTAGTGGCCCGAATAAGAATACATTTACTCGAACAGGAAGTGCGGACTCCGTGCAAAGTCCTCAACAGTTGGCTGGAAGAGAAAACTCTCCAGCACAGCGCTTTGTAGAGGTAAAGAATTCACGCTCAAATACATTTCATATTAACTCTGCACCCATACCTGGGCAAGCACATCCAGTCCGGGAACCAGTGTCCAACCGTGGGTCTTCTCAAAGTAGCAGTCCCACTAAGGGACGTCATTCTAGAGGCTGCGATCGAACAAATACCATACTGCCTAGCTTTCCAAGCGACATATACACTAAAATTCAAACAAAGACAACCTTCAACGGAAGTGGAAATGGAGATCCTTACCAAATGACTCCTTTCCCCCGCCCCCAGCCCCAGAGGGTATGGGAGGGAGGTGATAGAGTTAGTAGTGACAGCGTCAAAAATGACACGGTGATCCCAGTGCCGCTGGGATCGTTTGGGGTCAGAGGTCGCACGTGCAATGGAGAAGATCGCGTCACAATCGGATATAGACTCAAACGAGACCGAGAGAGACGCGTCGGTTTGTCGGCCGTCACCTGAAACAATATTGTGTATGATGTTTACAAAATGGGCGAAATCTACTCCTTTAAAGTGTTTAGGAGACCAGTATAAAACTGATCAATATTCACCTTAACTATTATTTAACATCATTAACCCTTTTTGATAACTATTTGGACTTGTTCCAAATGATAGATGGATTTTTTCTCAAAAAATGTGATTTAGGTTTATTTATATGCATTATGAATACGATTTGATCAGATATCTTTTATATATACTTGCCTAAAGACAATATAATGCGCCTGTTCTGAAATAAGAAGGCTGACTGATAAGCTGTGAGCATCATATTTAAGAGTTTTACTTTTGACGGACATACCGCATCTTTTTCATCAAAGTCCCCTTCTGTATCTATACACTTTTGCTAGCCTCAATGAGCCTCAATGCCACCTTAAGAGAAGTCCTGTTCTTCGCAGTTCAGAAAGGCTTCCACTGCATCTATGATGTCATCATCGGACCGAAAGTGGGTATCGGAAATTACCTTTTTCAAGTTTGGAAATAGATAAAAATCTGAGGGAACGTGATCAGGCAAATAAGATGGATGCTCAATCAATTCACAGCCATAGTCGTTAATGGCAGCCATGGCAATGGCAAACTTGTGAACAGGGGCATTTTCCTGGTGGAACTGCATACCTTTACTGAGTTTTCCCCGGCGCATGAGTGCAATATTTTCTCTTAACTGCCTAAGAAATGATGCATAATATGTGACATTTATTGTTTGTCCTTTTTGCAGACACTTACCTTAAGAGCCCCAGAAAACGGAGGTCATAACCTTTCCAGCTGATGGAACAGTCTTGGACTTGTTCGGAGGGGTTAAAACAGGGTGCTTCCTTTTTAGATCTTTGTTTGGTGTCTGGGGTAAAGTAATAGACCCTCATTTCATACATAGTCGCAAACCTCAGCAAAAATTAACAGGATCTATCTTTAAATGGTTCAGATTAGCACCCGATAAAGTCCGCCAGGTGTGCCACTGATCAGCTGTCAAAAGTCTTGGTTCCCAACGGGCTGAGAACTTTCTCATTGCAAGATCTTCCATAAGAAGGAAATGTACTCTTTCATGCGAAATCCCAACTGTGCTGGTTATATATCTCTCTGTAACTCGCCTGTCAGTCATAACAATAGCATCGAAGTTACTGATCATTTCTGGGTTTGCAACAGTGACAGGCTTTCCATGCTTAAATGCCGCCACCTACCTTTAAAATATGAAGGGACATCATTCCCTAGTGTTGCTACCATATCAGTATGAGAAAAGGACATCTCTTCTTAATTTCTTCATACAAGACTCACAACTTATCAATCAGTCCTCGTATTAGCAAATCAGAGAAACATTCGCATACATTCTCTCTGAGCTTACCGCGTCATGTGCACCTCAATGGATATTTTGCCTGAAAGACCTCTTGCAGATATGCGTGTAGCACATTTTTAACATTAAAAACGTAATACTTGACTTTTCAACTATGTCATTGTTGGATACATTCAGCAATCACCGCTGTGAAAGGCAGAACGATTATATACATGAAGTAAACTAAATGCGACAAAAGTTGAAAGCGCCTGTGAAAGTTTTCATACGATTTATTTAGTAATATGTGTGTATGAGTGTGATGAAGTGACTTCCCGAATAATGCCCTGCAATGATTGTGTACTCAACTGAATCTGGTTATGATTTTGTCTTGTATATTTCTATACCTTACGGTATATTAAGATGGCAACACCATAGATCTTCGGGGAGCTAACAGTCTAGTTTACAAAGTCAGTTGTCTGTATCGTATGTGTTGATTGTGGAAAGTTGTAAAATGAAAAACGACTTATTCCAACGGTGTTTCACATGAAAGATCCAAACACAAACTCAATAAAGACGTCTTACGTCACACCAAGCCAACAAAACAGTCTTACGTCATACCAAGTTAGCAAAACATTCTTACCTAACACCAAGTTAACAAAACAGTCTTACGTCACATAAAATCAACAAAAATCCAAAAATGCATAAAACATAAAATGCAATACAAAACAACAATCAATACGTCAAAAGTGAACAGAAAACAACATAACATGGCAAATATAATTTATATTGATTGTCAGGAATACATGAAATTTACACCACACCGAAAGATAATACACATACATATAATATTCATCATTCGTTACACATGGCATAAAAATCTTCGCACCGAATATAGTTTGAATTAAGATTTTGCTGACGTGTTGGTATTTTCTTTCTTGTTTTTAATACTTAACACGCATTACAATCGAAAAAATCATGGTAAAATTATAGTATTATCTTTTATCAACATTAATATCGTGCAGCCATTTTAATCTTTTGAGTGTTCCAAGGCCCGAAAGTGAACCGCACATAAAGGTGAAACAAATACAATGTATATACGTCTCCATTGTGAACGTATAACACAGGAAGAGTGTAGAAAAAATATAGTGTTATGTAGCATATCTAATCAACAGTATACCATAAAATACCTTGTATAGACAATGAAGCAAAGATAAGTCACATACATAATTAACAATTAGACATGAAAATGACACAAAAACCGGAGAAATATTTGTATAACGTATGTGGTAACCAATTTAAATACATCTCACTATCTTAGAGATGTTAATTATATTAATGAGCTTAAAAGAGACAATGAAAAGATTTAATTTTAAAGGAAAAAATTCATGTAATATATAAAAACATCGTTCTACATCAATAACAATTCATCTTGAAATCCGCCATGTTTTCTTTAGTATCGGTCTCAACATTCACATTTTGAGATATAGTTTTTATTTATAAGATATTATTTTAAGAGTTCTAGGTCGATAACTATTGATTATTTTTATTTTTCTACTACTTCTGCACGTCTAGATCACGTAACAATATTTCGATACCACAGTTGTATTTATAAACGGAAACCCTTTTTTAAAACAAAGATAACTATCGTGCCGTCTTGAGTCATGTCGTCCATCTCATACCAAAGTAGGTTTGGTCTACATTTTCAGTAAAAATAATCTGCACAATCTATAGCGAGGTGGCTGTACGAAATTTTAACCTAAAACAGATATTTATATATGAATATACAGGTCTACTGGAGGTAAATGATAAAAGTATATCATAGATAAACGGAGCCTTACCTCCAACAAGATGGCAATGAGCATCAACGGACGACCCAATTAGTAACACAATCCATGGAACATATATATATGTCCAACTAACGACTATCGACAAAATATTACAGCTGATCACAGAATGACAAAAAAGTAATCGAAACATAGATGATAAAAATAGCCTAAAAATCTGAAAAGAACATAATCAAAATTAAAACTATAGGCTGGTGCACCGTATGAAGTCCACAAATGTAACGAAACAAGATGTGGTGCATGTGAAATGCTATCGACGGGAAACTTATATAACATCAACAGAAAGAGTCATCTTGTGCCACACGAATTGTCATATATGTATTCCTGCACCCAGGTTCCAGAGAATCTTAATTCGGAGAATTGGAAGAACAGCTAAGACCCCGTGTTCAAGTACATGAATTACCGAGAATACAGAAAGCTTAAGCTAAGTGAACACCTCAATATATCTGGAAGGAATAATTACCAAATACTTCCATTCTAGGAAATGCAAACAGAAACAGTTTTTTAAAGAAAATAAAAAGAAAAAAGATAAGAGTATTTTATATGATAAATTAATCCAGAAATAAAGTCTAACATGAGACTTACCTCCCTTACCTCGCCCACTAAATACCATATACACGATAACGTCGATGTCTTTATTTAGTCACCAATGTATTGGTGTTGTTATTAAGCATCTAAAAATGAGAATTTATAACTCATGCCAAACACTCTTGTTGGTAAGTTTGATTACTTTATTTCAATGCAGACAGTGAGAAAAAAAATCACATTTATAGGTAAACGTGTTCCAGATAAACGGGATACAGATACCAAGTATAATATTGTTAGGCAGTGTTATCAAAATCTACACTTGTGACAAATATATTTTAAAAAATATAGCCGTTGTGAAAATTGAAAATGTTTAATGTATAACTATATATTACATGATGTTTGATGATCTAGGCGCTGCAGTGCTTCAAATTGGTTGTATTCCTTAAGAAAGGTAGAGTTGTCTCCCTTGTTACATATAACGTCTAGTGGTCTATATTGTCAATTTTATCAGTTGCAAAGTTGAAAATTGAGATTAATGAGGTTTTGTTGTCCCCGTCTTTAGTTAGAAACTGATAAGTCACCGGCGTTGACAACGGTAATGTAAATTATAATGGCTGCTGACACATGTGCGTGTTTGTCTTGGCTCTTGATGTATATCTGTAACTGCTTTAGTACACACAGAAGCACGTCCAACCACACATGGTGGAATGATACAATAATTTATCAAGAACCGATAAATATCCTATTTGTGGTTATCATTTTTTCTGAAATCGGCTGATACTTTACATCAGATATTTCAGCACTGATTTCAGTGTTAATTTTCCTACAATTTTTTCTACAATTAAGTTCGCCTTCGAGACGTTTTAGGCTCTACTGATGATAATGATGAAGACGGAACAGCTGTATGTTTAAGGAAGCAATAAACTATTTATTGATTGAAACATTTCAGGTAAATATCACATTCCTCTGTTCAGATAGGATCTCTCACGTACACGACTTGTCAAGGAACTAAAACTATTCCGAACTATCTTATTCAACATCAAACTTTTAAAGATTTTTTTTTTTCATATTACCGAAAGATTTTACAAAATGACACACAGATGAATAGCAACCTTTAATAGAAGCTAAGAGTTAAATACAGCCGAGCCAATATCAAATAATTATAGCGAAATACGACCAGAACATTCAAAAGACTTAATCACTTACTGAAAACTTGGGAGAGATAGTTATAAAGATAAAAAAGGACAGTGTAGTTGGTTTTTTTTTTATCTTTATCATGTGATCAGAATTGTTCAGTGTTATTTAGGAGCTTGACGTAAAGGAATTCGATGGTATCTGATGATCACTGTCATTTAATTGCATAGGTAACAATGGCCATTTCCCAGTCTTCCTAAAGCGACTGTTAAATACAAGGATTAATGAAAATAAAATGCAAACAAAAGTCTAAAGGTTTTTTAATCTCTATAAAAGACAACGAGACTGGTTGTAGGGTGACATTACTGCAAAAACAGAGATGGACGATGTTGTGCACAAAATAAAGATTATTTTCTCTGATATAATTAAATGGCCTGCTTGGATTGGTCCATTATCCTATATAGAGACCAGGAAAACTGTACAATATAGTAGTTATCATAGTTCTGGAAACGGTATATCTTATACAAAACTCAGTAGAAGAAAATCTATGACTGATTCTATTTGTATGGATATTCTGGACGATTTACAATAGAAAATCAAATTTACAGTTTAATGATGGTGTTTTTTAAACAAACTAATAACAGAAAACGGTATAATATCGAGTCAGTTGTTACGACTCGATGCTGACAAGAAGCGATCGTAACTCAAAGCGGTTATCATGAAAACAACGATAAATAATCTAGGATTGGATAGATCTAGTCATCCAAAAGTGTCTACTTTTGACGATCTTGCAAGACAGATGTCAATGCTCAGTTTAATCAAAAATGGTTGCGAGTTATTGAGAAAAAAAAATCTATTACTTAATTCCACATTTGGTTTTAAAGTTTTTAAACAGAAAGAATCGCATAGAGTTCTCCGCTCGTCAGTCTTCCCATTGCCTTTAATAACTGGACGGTAGGAATCCCGACAGAAAAGGTTCATTGTGCAACGAAAACAAAACAAGAAATGAATGCTATTATATGATTTATTGTCAAAAAAAAGAATGTATATGTATATAATCATATATTGTAAAGTGAGACACAATCAGCAGTGTAAAGTTTACCTTACACATGTTTTTCTTTTCTTATAAAGGCTAATATTGTATGTTAAAAAATCCTATTAATTCACGTACATCTGAATGTGTTAAAAATGCGGGTCTAGATTCTAGATGTTATATCGATAAATCAGTCAGCCGTTTGTACATATATTGTGTAGTTAGTATGCTATGTAGTGTGCCAATTTGTTACAACTATTTGTGTTATAAATTGGGGCGTACTTCAAAGGATATTGCGTAGTTGTAACAAACTGGCACGCTACAGTGGGGTTTGAAGTTAATTATCAAGAAATTCAGGAATTGTAATGCAATATTATATTACTGTGTATATGTACAATATGTATGTATTTGATACGTTATGACATCAAAATAAGTATAACTTACCAGGATATTGTTTTGTCAGCATGGACAATGTTGCTAAATAAAACAGAGGAAACGAATTTCTCTGGCTCATTTGGTTCCTTGTACATGTGTGTCATTTTGGCTGGCTTGCTTTTGTTTCATACCAGGCTAAACAAAACAGGTCACAAAGATTCTGCAAAGTTGAAATTCACGTTCAGATATATTGACGACGTATGACTTTAAATTTCAAAGCAATTACTGACGACGTCTTGTAACTTTTGTGTATTTTAATTCTTGCAAAATATTTAATGCTCTTGTAATAGTCTATATAAACGTCAGGATTATTGGTTTATACATCTTTATATCTATAAAATGTGTAAATATCTGGAAAATAAGATATTGCTTGCAATTGCTCCTGGTTCTATCATGCCTTGGAAGATTCCCAAACCTTAAGGAGTGACGGAGCGTAATCCTTTTCATTGCGTGGTCTCACGACAATATGAGCATCCGCAATATGTGTAGATCCAATGGTTCCTTCTACTTCGAAATCTTCATCAGAAATTGTAACCGGGTTGACGTCCGTGTAAAATTTTTTCCTTATGAACGATAACTCAGATGTATTGGACTGGTAATACATGGTTTTGTACCAACTCTTGTCATGTTTTGTTTTACCTGGTTTAGTCAGACCTACACCCAACCAATTTTGGTAGTAGTCATGGTTGAAGGGCACTGACCACATTACCACCACGCGTCGATCGTTGACAACCCAAGAAACTGAACCATATGTCCCTGTCGCAGTTCCTCCTGTCTTGTGAGTTATCTGTTATGATAGAGGATACTCATTACATAAAATGGAATGCAAGTTCCTAAAAAACATGAAAACTTTCGTTCAACTAAGAATAGTTTTGTCTTGCCTTCCATCACTGCCATTTAGAATGTGCCACTCTAACTTTTTGTGTGTACTATTATCATTACTCAGCCAGATCATATACAATTGCTTTGCATCTATGGAAAATGTCAAAGCATTTAAAATAAAGTAAGAGAATACATCACATATACACTAATGGTTCAATTAAGACTGATCAGGATCGATATAATGTAGTAGTTTCCACCAATTATGTACAAACTGTTGTCGTTCATTCATGGTAACGTAATAAAACTCGGGAGAAATAGAGATTTGCTCTGCTAATCCATTATGTGATCTGATTGATAAAAGTGAGTGAAAACATAATAAGCTTTTTCAACTTAATGAAAATACCACTTTCAAAGATTGTACAAAAGACACAAGTAAACAGCAACATCTAGTACATGTTAAGATTTCTTACAGTAGAGTCAAACAATCAAGTCCTTCCTGACTTATCAGTAATTCTAAGGGCCTAAATGTTAAACCTAGGAGGTAACTGACGAAAATTCAAAGGAATCGAATTCCAAATCTAGATGAGGAGATGCACTTCCCTTACATATTTGAAATTTTCATTCTACTGGTAATTTTAAAGAAATTTTATGTATATATATGTATTCTGAAACCGTGAACTATTCCAATGAATTACAAAGTGGTAATAAAACCTGCGACAAATGCTCTTTTATCTATGTATCTTTGCATTTCGAAATATAAAGTCAATATGAAATGATCATGTATTTTTACAAAACGGCAAAAATTTAGTATATTTGTTAATCAAAAATGTTTCAGATATATATCGTTTTTATTCTAAGTTATAAAGATAAAACTAATAAAACATTCTCAAATGCAAGCCTAACATTGTTGTAAAAACATGCTGTATGGAATGTAATATTAAGATATATTGAGTCCTCACCATTGCCTCCTTGACACCAGGTAGAATGTCGATTGGTGGTGTTTTAATCAGCCCACCATCATTGAATGCCATAGGTTTCTCCAATGTGTATTTGGTCCAGTTGGCAGTCTCTATTCCACAGGCAACACTGTAGCCTCCGCTGCTTGTCAGGGCGCTGACGGTCGTACCAGCCAAACTGGAACCAGCGCTCACTGCCGCCACCAAACCAGCAAACATACTTTCTATGTTATATCACTGGATAAAACATAAGTTAAGGTATACTCATATATATATTCTTATAGATTCACTAGTATAGGATTTTACATGGAGTAAGGAATTTGATTTTATTCATATCACGTGATCCATTTTGCAGGTAATTATTGCAGAAACGAAATCCCATATTTACATGTAAAATCTGAGTTCATTCCGACTCGATATTATCTATTTTTCCGTCATAATCGTATCTTTGAGTGTGTGATGTCATTTCATAATCTAAACTTGGCATCACCATATAGTATACATGTGTTTTACACATCTGCAATACGAAACGTCATAACACAAACCAAAGATTAGAGATGCAGTTTCAAGACCAGCAGTGTCTTTTAAAATCCTTTCGTTTTCCATAGTATCTTCACCTTTCCAAGATCGTATCTCATGTCAAACGCACGTCAGTATTCCATAGAATATCATGTCACACAATATTCACAACTATTAGTATTGAAATCTGGTTTCGAACCTTCTTCAATTTAAGACGAATATGTATATCTTAAAAGTGCTCACCACAATTGGCCAAGATAAACTCCGTCAGTTAGGACAGCTTCGTCTTTTCTCTCTCCTGATAAACTGGTTTGAGCTCCTTTTATAACAAAAATGATGTAATATTCTAATTATAGACTTGAAGAAGTAAGCGTAATTCAAAAATAGGATAACCTAATATATCACGTGTAACAGGTATGTTTTTCCTAGTTGTAGTGATGTGTAAAGAGTTGATTCTGGTCATGGTCACCTAACTTAGGATCTGCCTATACTTGTAGGTAAGGACAACTGGACACACAATAACTGGTGATTTAAACATTATGCGAACGTTTTTAAGCTACGAGAGCTTTTCATGAAGGGTACTAAATATTATGTAACCTCGTCCGTTGATTGGAATGAAAATTTCAAAATACTTAAATATTCTGATAGAAGCTATACCAGAGAATGGGTGAAATGAGAACATACTGCATCGGATTCACTTTCTGAGTGTATTAAGTCCATTAGGTCCATCATTCGTAAATAAATTGCAGCATGAAATCAAAAGTAAAAATGAAAAATCACAGGTCATCTTTCCTCGATCCTGATTCTAAACCTTCACTACTGTGCGTGCAGATAAGGCGGCCAATAACTTGATTCTTGTCTGCAAACATTATTACATTTCTTGTATACGAAATGAACTGGGTTTGCTTGATAACGAAGGAAACCCAACCTATACATTAAAAAGACGAGATACTGGCTTCGGTCTAACAATCGTTTAGATTGCCTATTAATGATAAGGATACGGACCTCCCCCATTTATAATGGATCCCTAAACGTCACAAGAATCCATATAAATAACGTATTATAGCTGGCTCGTCTGACTGTTCATCCAAGCCTTTGTCTACCTTATTAACCACTATTATAAATACTATCAAATCTGACATTTTGACAATGAATACATGTATATGCTTGTGAAATGTACCGAAGTGTATTTCGTAAAGCTTACGTCCAAATCAAATAAGAAATATACAGAGGGCGAAATCACATAAATGATTGAGTTTCTGGTTGAGAACATCCTCGTTGAGTTTGATTGTAAAATCTTCCAGCAGATTATTGGCATATCTTTGGAAACCATCTGCACCCCTCTGTTTGCTAACTTGATTTAGTTTTCATACAAGGCTCAATTTATTGAAGAGCTAATTAAAACAAGTCACAAAAGCCTTGCAAAGTCCTTTAATTTCACCTTTGATAACACAATGGTTCAAAAGATTCAAGTTAATTTTTAAGTTTTCATTTGAGATTGTAACAATACTTACTTGGATTGACCAAGGTATGCAAGGTGGGTGTCGTGGATCAAGCAGAAAACCTTACTATTCAGGAACACCTGGTCTTATTCTCCTTGTACTTTTCTAGGAAACTCCGTTTAATTTTTTCTTTAGTTTATAGTTTGCCCTAGTTCTATGGAATTTAAGTTTAGATTATGATTATGTTGACATTTTTTATATTTTCTTGATGTTACAGGTGCATACGACGTTTGTACTTATGGAGAATGTTCAGATGAGTAATAAAGGTGAGTCTGAAGATTATGCCTAATTTCGGTTAATGTTTTATTGTATGAAAGGATAAAAACAGACTGACCTGGTGATTTTTCACAAGGACTATTATATACGGGTATTATAATTAGACGCGAGATAAATTACTTTATCACGTTACATGTCCAGATGACCGTCTTTTCTATGAGATAATGAATATGACGCATTGCTGTTTTATTGCCGAAAAAGGGTTTTCAATGTAAAGATTTCGGTATAAACAGTTTCGGTCGTCTCAAATTTACAGAAAAGGCGCAGTGTGTCCCTTTGATACAATCTACAATCAGATATAAACAAATTATTTATTTTATTGCATTTTATTTTTTTGTGTTTATTCTGTGTATCCAATGATTTCTATTTAAGTCGACCGACCATCAGAAAAGAACCTACAGATTTGATTTCCTGTAAATCAGGTGTAAACAAATTATTATTTTTTCGACTGTACGCTTCAGAAAAATCGCTGGGGAAATTGTGTTTACTGTGGTTTAAATAGATATGAGACTGCATTCCCAGAACCTTCCCTAGCATTTTCATATGTGTTTACATCTCGGAACATAATAGGACACATTGTTTGTTAACAACCTAGATTTCAAGAGACACCGATGTTTATAACATGCAATAGCTTTCAAAGTATCACTTCGTCGTGTTTGTCAATAGGTACAGTGTACCGAGATATTTACTTGAATAAAGACTGTAAATAGAACATGTTTTAAAACCGTTTATGTACAGGTATATATCTGATTTAAGTCTAGACGATGAATTCCGTAATTATAGCATTAGTGTAAACACATCAGACACTCAGTGGTCTATGAGCTGATAGAGAAGCGTATATTTCACCCAATGACGACGCATCTTTCCTTCACCTGATGTAGGATATATTGTATCTAATGTACCATGACACATAAATATTTTCCTTTAAACTTGAAAAAAAATTTTTTTTTGAGATTTTATGATGTTATAATGTTTTACCTCATTCTGAGCTATAACTATAAATACTTTTACTATTCTGTTGACATTAACGCTCCTCTGTATAGGATATCAAGTGATCATGTCTTCTTCTGTAGCATCTGCACGACCTGATTTTTGTAATCAAAAGTGTATTTCCCTCTCGTGTCTTTTGCACAAACTTTCACGGTGTTGCTTCTCATATTTCATCTCACTCTAATATTGCAACATTTCGTATTTCATTTTACTTTAATATTCCTAATTTTCGTATTTTTTCCAATTTTGATATAAATATACTCAACGAAAAAAGAAAGGTTAACATGTTTCCTTGGCGATTACCTGTAAATGAGTGAAAACAAATTGACGTTTGTGCAATATTAGAAAATGGTAATGTTTTACATTACAAAATCCAAGGGGGTTACCAAAATCATTCAAGCGTGAAAGTTTGTATTAGCGAAAGAGCTGCACGAGGTTTTCTGCGACTAACTTGTATCTTCGCTTGAATTTCATAAACATTTAAACTGACCACTGTTCCTTAGATCCTTAGGTTGCAGTGTTAAGACAATTTGCCAGTTGGTAAATCGTTTGAACCAAACTGGGTCCCCGAAGCGGCCGACCCCGTAAAACGACCGCCAGGGATGACCGTCGTATACGATAGATACACTTGCGCAATCGATTCGTAACCGCAGTAGAGACTACAAGGACATTGTTTGGGCGTCGTGTGTCTCCCCAAACAGTCCGCAACAGGTTGAGGGCCTACCAATTGAAAGCGCGGCGTCCCTACACTGGACCCAATTTGTTGCGACGTCACCGTAATAATCGGCGTAACTGGACCCGTGTTCACCGTCGTTGGGCCTTACGACAATGGAACAATGTTCTGTTTTCAGATGAGTCCAGGTTTTGTCTGCAACACGGTGACGGAAGGCGCAGAGTGTGGAGGCGACGAGGGGAGCGTTTTGCGAACTGCTGCGTCGAAGAACGGGACCGCTTTGGCGGCGGAAGTGTAATGGTTTGCGGTGGTATTTGTGGGGGTATTTGTGTATTTGTACCAGGCCTGTTGTGTTAAATGGCAATTTAACCGGCATTCGATATCGGGACGAAATATTAAGACCAGTGGTTCTACCATTCTTAAGACGCCATGGCGTTGGCGCCGTTTTTCAACAGGATAACTCACCAGCGCACACCAGTCGCGTCAGCAGAACTTTCTTGCAGCAGAATAACGTACAGGTGTTAGATTGGCCATCTAAATCACCTGATTTATCACCGATTGAGCATGTCTGGGACGTTCTTTGGCGACGCGTGAGAGAACGTCAAACTCAGCGGTCAAACTTGCAGGAGCTGGCCCAAGCCTTGATCGCTGAATGGAACAACATCTCTCCTTGAATTATCCGCCGGTTTACGAGTTCCATGCGACGACGCTGCAATGCTGTTTACTTCGCCAACGGTGGCAATACCCGTAACTAATGGTGTTACCGTTGAAATTGACCCCAACGTCCTTTACAGTCGAATAAAATCAACTGAACGCAAAGTGTTATAATGAACCATGACTGCAGTTTTATCAGAATTGATCAAATACTTTATTCGTACATGATTGGTAAGGATTTATGAACGGGTTAATTAATTAATGACAGAATAAAGTAGTGTTACCTTTCTTTTTTTGTTTAGTAAATATTACATTTTTATGTAACTTTATTGTAACTGCATTTTGTTTATTACATAACTCGGGTATAACAACATTTCGTTTATTATATCACTCAGATATAACTACATTTTGTATATCATCTAACACAGATATAACTACATTTTGTATATTATCTAACTCAGATATAACTACATTTTGTATATCATCTAACTCAGATATAACTACATTTTGTATATCATCTCACTCAGATATAACTACATTTTGTATATCATCTAACTCAGATATAACTACATTTTGTATATCATCTAACTCAGATATAACTACAT